TCGCCATCCAACATAGCTGCTGCTGCTGCTGCTGTGTGTGTGTGTGTGTGTGTGTGTGTGTGTGTGTGTGTGTGTGTGTGTGTGTGTGTGTTAACCACATTAGCTTCCCTGTGCTGTCTGCTGCTGATTTACTGACCTCACACACAGACACACACACATATGGTGGCTGATAAAGGGACGGACTGCGGCTCTGTAGCGCGTCTGAATGTATTATAGAATTAAGCCGAGTGTCTGGTTACTGATACAGCTGCTGGTAGGCTGCTGGAGAGGCGCAGACACAAACACAAAGAGAAACAAAATCACCACAGAACAAGCAAAATTAGCCACAAAAAAGATGCAAAATCACCACAGTAAGATGTTAAATTCCAATAAAATTAGGTGAAATCGCCCCCGAAAAAGAAAAAAAAAACAAAACACAAAAATCTCCACAAAGATGACAAATCCCCACTGAAAGATGCAAAATCATCACACAAAAAAGTGTCAAAGGCGACACAAACATTCGGAATCACAACAAAATGAAGTGAAATCACCCCAAACAAACAAAAAAAAATCATGAGGAAAAATATCTGAAAACATCACATAAAAAACTGAGAACACAAATATGCAATATTACAACAAAGATGACAAATTGCCAACAAAATGAGGTGAACTCACCACAGCAAAGAATTCAAATTCTCCACAAAAAGACTCAAAATTACCACAAAGATGCAAAATCCAGACAAAACTCAAAATCACTAGACAGAAATGCAAAATCACCACAAAGCGGTATATAGTTGTATTTTCAACAATCATTGAGTATGTGCAACTGCTCTGTGTCCAGTCAGTTTTAGAAAATAACCAGGTTACAAAGATTTAAAATGCTGTTCACATTGGTTTACAATTCCTCCAGACAATGAGGCTGCAGATGGAGTCACTCGGAGCTCTGTGGAACATCTACTGATTTGTATTATTCGGTTTAGAATCATTTTCAGTCCACAGAGATTTTCTTTCTCAATAAACCATCTTTTTCATGACGTCAGCAGCTCATGTTTCCTTCTGCATAACAGTGAAGCTGCAGTTGACACTGATCCTCTGCATGAATAACGTGATTAACTGAGTCACCTTATGGGAGAAACGTAAACTCCAGTCAGGGGGGTTTTCTGTTTGCAATCTCAGGTTTCTGTGTGTTGCTTCCAGCTTTTCCAAACCATCAGTAAAGTAAACTGTTAAATCATCTAAGTCAGTTTCTCCTCCTGTGTTGTTTTTTTGTCTTCTGCTTCTTTACAGCAGATCGACAGTGTTTGAGCATCAGTTCAACACTCTGATTTAATAAAAGAAACACATTTTATCTCATTGTGTCTGTCAGTAGGATTCCATCTGATAACATTCTGGATTCAAACCAACAACTAAATCAACCAACAATTATTGTGAGTCTGATAAATCTCATAAAAACTCAAAGATCCTCCCTGGTACAAGGAAGGACACATTCATGACACACAAAACCATACAGCAAGAAAGAAATTGGAAAAAGAGACACAAAACAGCTGGGGAAAAAAAGAACAAAAAACACAAGAAAAAGACACAAAACAACCAACAAAGGAAAAAAATGAACAAAGAGACACAAACACAATCACAAAGAAACAAACACTGACCACAAAATGACAGAAAGCAGACACAAAAAAATACAAAATGACCACAGAGACA